AAAATTTGAAATATCTCCACAAAGTGATGGTTCTCCGACATAAATAGGATAATACATTTTTATTCAGAATTCCGAGGTGCATCGAATCGCGCGCAAATAAATGATACGATTGCATTTAAAAAAGAAAATAAAAAAAAATAAATGCGACATTCGCGTGTCCTTCATGCGTTCGCATACAAATAAAATATAGCGAACCTGGATTACGTCATCCTCGAAATAGAAAATGTTTCGCGTGAAACGTTTCTTCGGTTAACGAATAGTTCTCGAGTTAATCGCATTTATTCATTAAAATGGGTCATCCTGTATATAAATACATACATACACGTATAAAATAAATAATGCACGGTTTGCTAAAACCAAATCAATTTCCAACAAGTAAAATATTTATCGTCAGCGACGGCGAAGAAACGATTTGACGACGCTTCGGGCGAAACGCGGCGGAAAGTCGGGCGATTGTTCGAACAGAACATATTTAAGGCCGCGAGTGAATTATCGAAGGGAAGCAAGAGAAGATTAAGAAATCTCAATTCCCACGATCTCCGTGAAATATTAATAATTATTAGGTTAGCGGGAGGAACGGAATACCTTTCTGAAGCAATTCAGTGTCAATTACCTTTCCTTTCTCGTTCCGTAGCGCGGCAGATCGTAGACATCTGAACGCAGTAATGACGGCAGAGATCGTACCTCGTAATTTTAGAACAATCACTTCTATCATTCTAAATTCCGCCTCTCGTATTCTCATAATGCCGGGCGAGACCGCTCTCCCCGACCTGCCATCTACATCGGCTTCTTCGTGCTCATCGGCGTAAGTTCACCGTCGCCAGTAGGTCGTGATCTTCTTAGATGCGTGGAATTGTCGCAACGAAACTCATTATCCCGTGTCGAGAAACGGAACAAGCCGTCTAACCGTCGCTCCGACGGGAAAAGGAGCGGGACGTTGATCAATGACGTGCGACAAATACCAGGCAAATAATATAATCGCATCACGACCACCTAGAATTGTTCGGTTCGAGCCGGACGTTCTTCGCTCGCCGTTCGGTCATTTGTCGATTCGAATTCTCTACTACAAAGTCCGACGATCGTCCGTTCTCGAGACTCTTCCAAATCTTCGATACCCACGGCTTTTCTTATTCACGGTTGATACGAGCAGTTACGCCGGTTTGGATTAGTTTCCTTCAGTTCGCCGGGAGAAGCGACAAGTAGGGTAAACGAGCCAATTACCGTACCCTGTTCGCGGACTTCGGGAGTTCGCGCTGCTGAAAAGAAATTCAGGAATTTAATTGACATTTCTTAACGCTTGGAATCATAGAAATCGATTCCGTGGAGTTTTATTTTATTTTTAAATATATGTGTGTTTTTTTGTGTGTGTGTTGCGATTACATTACAAAATAAAATTTATCCTATTTAGATTATATTAATGAAGTATATCGTAATCGCAAAGAAATTAGCATTAACTATTTTAAGAACTGCGGCCTCTCGCGTGCTCAATTTTAACAAACAAATGATCGATCGAATTTCAATATGAAAATTTAATATGTTTCGTTTTATAAATATAAAGTTGATCGTTCCTTGGAAACGAACGTAAGTCGTGGTAATTAGCTACGAACCGCGTGAAATTATGCTTTTTATCAACGGGAACGAAACCGTGTTAATGTTAATCCACTCGCTTCATTGTTAACGTTCCTTTTGAATTTCTTTTTACAGAGAGCACGTTGTATTTGATGAAACGGCACACCTGCGAAGGTCAGCGAAGAATGTTCATTTGTTAAATACCAGACGTTCCGCGAGTTCGCGCAGTTTGCCGTGTCATTTACAGTGCAAACTTTATGTAAGATATTACGTACACCGGATTTCCTGTCATTCCTTCTTTTTTTCAGCTGATAAAGCATGTGCGAAGTTGCTGAATTTTACGCTTAATGGACAAACGTTCACTCGTTCGGCGGACAAGATGAATTGCGGATTTCAAGCCACGTGGATTTCTTTCGTCGAGCTTTTTAAAGCCTCTTTAGCGCGTACGTTTGACACGCGCAGTTATGCTGAAGACGAATGAACTTTGTCCAGCTCGTCGTTCGTGGCGACAACTGCGCCGTGCAGATTTTCGCAGTGGAATTCGAACAAATCGTTGAAATTCGGCTTTTTCAGGCGAGTTGACAATTAACGTAACCGTTAACATAAACGTTAATTTTGTAGAATTTGATAAGAAGAGATTAAATCTAACGAATTTTAAATCTTCAATTTAAACAGGTTTTTGTATTTTCTTTCGTTTCCCTTTTTATACTTTTTTCTTTACATGTAATTCTATGGACGCATCGCGCAACGAAGTAGCAATGATCGATGAAAATGTTTACCTGTCATTTCGAACGAGAAACGAAATTTTCCGGCTTCGCGCCGGTTTAATCAAATTTTTATTTCTATTAATTCCACGCATGATTTCACTGCGTTCATTTTCTTTTTTCGGGTCGATAAAGCATACGCAACGTTTGCACGTTCGGCGAACAAGATGAATCGCGGATTCCAACCTTACGGGAATTTCTTTCCGCAACAAAACCGGACCGCACCGCGAATTTCATAGTTCAGCACGCGACTAAAATTGCGAACCGCGCGAAATAACATTTTATTTGTCGCAGTTTAATATTTGCAATTAAACGCGCAGCCAGGTGCACGCATGAAACATCGGAGCATAAATCCTTCAGGAATATTAATCGGATGTCCAAGTTTTTCTTTACGCTCGCAATCATAATTTACTGCGGAATGGTAATGTCTCTCTCTCCACTACCGTAATTCAAACTGATAATTAGAATGCTGAAAAACCGTGAAAATCTCTCGGCCGGTCCTTCATCTTCATAATCAAATATTTCTTAATCAAACATTTGCGGGCACCAATAATTATACGATCACCCGGGGTAATATTCCGTGGAAAACCGGGGAGCCGAAGCGGGCACGCGGTGGAAAACATTTGGTGCTCCTGACATAATCGAGAAACGATGAAACGAAAAAACTGTTCTTTTTTTTTCTAAGGAAGTTCAACTTCGATAAATATTTTTGACTCTTCCTATCTCTCCCTCATTCTGTAACATTTCAACATTCATTCAAATTCAGTTCCATCCCTCTATTTCGATTGTATTAATAACTCTACCATTTTCCCGTAAAAACAGACAATTTTTTCGTCACGCTGTCACATAAATAAGTTCAGTCGTGAATATATAAAAAATATGTTTGTATTTTAACGATTTCTGTGTATAAATTCCGTTTGTTATATAAAGTCATGCAACATGTGTGTAAATATTCTTATAAGTTTTAATTGCGAGTGGATCTCGTTGCGAATTGTTGCAAATATGCATTACTGCGATGAGCAGAAGCTGTTCCCGATATTTTTTTGATTGAAAAAAGCAACTTTTAATCAGTAAATGGGTAAGTCAACGGCTGAGTGCCGTGCCATTAATCTAAACCATTATTATCAATTACTTTCATTTTCATTGCTCTTAAAAATTATTCGAATGTGAATTACTTTAACTTCAAAATCGGTCAACTGTAGAATTATTTTTGGATTTTGACAAGATATATGAGGACTGTCTTCCGAACACTTTTTCACCGTAACTTTCTCAACGATTCGTTACAAAATACATTTCAAAGGACCATGCTCAACCAGGAGATGTTTGCTTATTTTATACAGTGCCTTATAATTATTTTATTTAGAAACATTATCATTATGTCTTAGCCCATTCAAATAAAAAAATACTGTAAGATTTGTCATACTACGTTGTTGAACTATACCTGAGCAGCGGCGATTCAATCTGGTAAAACAATAATAATCGCACGAAGCAGTACCATAAATCCGAAAGTTTCTCCAATTTGCTGCAACATTTACAGCAGATTTTTACGGAAGACCCGCGGTCTCCTCGCGACACCGCCGGACGTCGCGCAAACAGCGGCAACTAACAGTGATCCGGGCCGGTGCAATTGTGCGCTGCACAAACAAACAAAAGCATCGTCGGACAGCTCGAATTCTAAGAACCGTGCGCGTAACTGCGTCACACAAGCATACTTCCCACGTCATGCATACTATCCCCGGAAAAATAGAAAAACGTTCCGGCCGGCATTTCGGCAAAGAGAGGCGCGCGCGCACGTGCACCGTGCACGGTGCTTAATAATTAACCGGCGAAATGGATATATTAATTCAGTCGAACGATTCCAGGGGAATTCGGCGGCGTGCGGCGTCGCGTTTCCGCTCCGGTGCGTCGTCGCGGCGTTCGCCGTCAGAATTAACCGGTATCATAGGCACGCCATGTCACCGATTACGAGGGCCTCGGAGAAGTTGCTTTAACGAAACTCGTTACCTGGTACCAGGGACATCTAGAAGCAGGCAAGAGGGATGCGGCGTAGCCAGTCGACCAAGCAGCTGTAACGTCGTCGTTGCCAGAAGAACGGGCGGGAGGCGAAGAAGAGGCGGCCCTGTACACATACATATATGTGTTTGTGTGCGTGTGTGTATGTGCGAGGGGGACGAAGGAAAGAAACAGGAACTCAAACAGCACGAGCCCGAAGAGAAACGAAGGCTGGCGTAGGCTTCGCCGGTTGCGGAGGGCCGTAGAGCGCCGGAGGAAGGAAAAAGATGAGAAGGTGGTCGCCGGGACGTGGGTAGAGGAGCCGGCATAGACGGATCCGGCAGGGACAGAGAAAGCAGAGAAACCTGGCGAAGAAAAGAGGGGCCGGGAAAACGGACGGAGAAGTCCGCGGGAAGACAGGGCCAGACAGTGATACACACACAGAGAGAAAGAGGCGTATAAAAGAGGATAGTTCGGAGCGAGGGTTAGAGTAGGATGAGGTCGGAGGTGGTGGAGGAGGAAGAGTAGGAGGAGGAGGAGGAGGAGAGATTTGTGAAGGTACGAGAAAGCAGCAGAGGTACCAGCAGTGGCAGCAGCAGTGCCCGGGCATCAGGGCACAGTTTGGTTGGCGCAGGCGCTGGCCGGTAGACGGTTCCTGGTGCGGGCTGCAGGCGGCAGAGGGTAGAGAGAAGCGAGGGAGGTGGATGTCGGAGGGTGCCCGTAGGAAGTTTATCGGCGGCGAGTGGTGGTGGGTGGAAGTGGTGCCTTCGGAGGTGGGGTTGTAGGTAGACGGTGGAGGTGGAGGTGAAAGCAGGAGCATACTCCGTACACCGAGGATTTCCAGGCAGCAGACAGTCTACGGCCCGGGACAGAGGGACCAGGACCAGCCTCGGGAAGGAGAGCTCGTCGTGGACCCTCTTCTCTCCTTATTAATACGCGCCGACCACCGCTGTACTTTTCCGAGTGTTTTGGTGGCCTTGAAACTCGACGCGTCTCCTCGCGTTCCGCTGCGTTACGTTACGTACCGTCGCGGCGCACAGACCGACGGGCTTCAAATTCTATCCCCCGCGAAGGACATTTAATCTACCCCCGTTGACACGCAGTGTGCACCCCAAGAGGGACAACCGATTTCCGTGTTGTGTGAACCGGTTGCGTAGGGGGTTGAACCCTGCTCGCGCGGTGCCAAGGGACAACGGGGAACCAGCCGCAGCCGAGGAACTAGTGTGGAGATGAGCGCAGTCGTTCGGCCGGGGACTGCTCGGAGCACGTGCCTCGCACGCAGAAGGCGCTCTGAGCGGCATCAGGTGCGCTAATCGGGCACCGATCCGCGAAACAAAGCGAGACCAGTGCAAATTGAACGTTGCCGCTGCCGCTGCCGCACCGCGGATCGCCGCCCCCCCCCCTCTATACGACCAAGGTCGTGTTTTTCTATATCGCGACGGCTCCCTCGGTTTCTCGATAGCAACCATCATCAGGGATGACAGGACGTGCCGTTCACGCGGCAAGAACGGTCTCGATGATCGCGTTGCTCACCTCTCTTCTGATGTTTGTCGGGATCGACGGCATGGGACACGCGAGTGTACACAATGCGGATCGCGTAGTGTTTCATCAAGGTGAGTCGCTCTCTCTGTGCCTACCACGTTCTCACCGATTTCTATCATATACGTCGTCGTCGTCGTCGTCGTCTCTTCTACCCTTCGCTACGGCAAGCCTCGCTCGCGGGTGTACCTCTTTTTGAATTATTAATGCGAACTGATCGTTCAATTAACGGGATTACGGAACTATCTACTACCCTTTCCATCCCTTCTCTATCTCTATCTCTCTCTCTCGTTCTCTCTCTCATCGACGGTAGGCTGCTCGGTATAGATCTATGATCTACCATCACGCAATAATGAGGGTTAATGGGAATTGTAATTGAACTTCGAGCGAGAGATCCCAACGTTTGCACGGGCTACACAAACGAGTCAGGATACAATAAATATACGGTTAAATTGATCGACTGCCGTGCTGCGCGTTTGCGGCAGTCGATTATGCAAATACTGATTTTTCTAGCCTAGTCCGCGACCGTTCGAATCGGATTCAGGCTTTTCTACTTCGTCGAGTGTTTTATCGAATATTTAAACGTTTCCGGCAGTTTCTAATCTGTCAAATTTACGTCATATTTTGTTATACATCGCGAACGGTGTAAATTCTTTTCATCTCGTATGGTGTGTGTCTTTCCGAATGTTGGATCATCAAGATCGTTCATTTTTCTTCAACTTTTCATCGCATAACATGCGAAATAATCAGATACGCGGTGCACACACCGTAACGTCTCGTATCGGAATTAACGTCGCGTCGGAAATCCGTCGTATCATTCGCGAAATAATTACTCTCGTTTTCGTACTAAATATTGTCACGGATGTCGCAATGCCGAAGACCGATCAGAGAATCGAAAATGCACGGGAATAATGTAAGCGGGCAATCAAGAGATTATTCGAAATCTGCGAGCGACGAAGCAGGAGCATCGACAAAAATGGGAGAATTGTTGTTTAAACTATTTAAAATCGTGAACGGTGAATATAGTTTCTGTTCGCGAACGGATCGCGGCGAACGTGCAGGCTCGCCGTCGGAACGAAAAATCGAATCGATCCGGACGGTTCAAGGATCCGGCGGCCGCGATCGATGCCGCTTGATCTCCGTTAGTTGTGAATTATTAGCTTCCGTGAACGGGGTCCGTGCAGTACTATCTACTTCCTGGTGCAAACAAATAGCAACGAGCGGTGACGCCATCGACTCTTTGTGCTCGATTCTGGATGTCGCCGTTATAAATAGCCGGCGCCATAAATAGCCCGATTTCCTTAGGGCGAGAACGGATCTATTTCATTTGCGACGAAAACCGCTCGCGAGCCCCGGCCGTCGAGGACCCGCGGTTTGGCCCGCGCGCGATAACGCGCATTGACAGCTGAAAAGCGGGCAAATGAATTTTTCATAAATCATCGGCGAATGTCTATCGGCACTCCGCCAGCCCCGACGATTCCCCGACAACTCTGCAAGTCAAAACACCGTTCCGACGCGACGTTATTTATGTTTATCGGGCGAAGGAAGAAAAAGAAAAAAAAAGGGAAATGAAATTTCCCCCGAAACGGAATTTAGGCGGCCGGGAAACGACGCTCTTAGGCGAACGAAAAGTTACGAGGCGACGCCGGGGCAAGTATGTTTTTTTCAAACCGGGAAGTTTGCCGGGCCGCGCCAAGGTATTCGACCGTGCGAAGCGTTGAAGTTTTTAATTTTAATGTACACGGTAAACCGAGCCGCCTGCAAATTCATGTCCTTCAGGAATGTTTAACGACACCGCGGTGGTCCGCTTGCGCTTCTGCACGCCGGCCCGTATGTTCGTTTTGCATTCAAATGATTGACCCTTTCATTGTACGAAACTGAATGGCGGCGATAAAAATTAGTCGCGCGTTGGACGGAACGGATAGCCCCGTGAATGGCGGAAGAAGCTGAATGGAAACACCGGCGGAAGAGAAATTCGAGATTTCGGCGCGCGTGGCGTCTTTGTTTTTTGCGATTTTGCAAACGTTGTTTGCGCGTTTCATTTCGTTTTTGAGATTCCAGGATTACAGGGTTGTAAAGCGAGTTTTTCATTTTTCTTTTTTTTTTTTTAAAGCGATGGAACTTTCAATAGGGCTATCTGTCATTTGACAGTTGGTGGATAATATTTTGATTTGACATTTCAGTTCAGTAAGCCTTGGCAAATCATCGTGGAAAGCGTTAAGCTGCAACAACGTTTGCAAATTCTGGAAATATATTTTCAGAATCTGTTCGTTATGCTTATAGAGTATTTCGATTTATTGAGAGAACAATTTGGTGGGAAAATTATTTCAAGGAATGATCCAGTGATTTGATCTGAAAGATCACGTGACTTTACGCTTCTGGATTATTTGTTTCTTTCGAGGATATGTAAAGTCTCAGATTTATGCCGATAAATCAGCAACGATTGACGCTTTGAAAGTAAACATAACTCGTGTTAATAACGAAATATATCTCCAATTTCTTGAAGAAGTGATTGAAAAATGAACCGATCGAATCCGATTCATCGAAGCTAGTCGCGGTGGACATGCCGGAAATTATTTTCCAAACTTAAATGTCACAAAATTATCTTTCGATTCAAGCTTCAGTTTTTATGCGAATTATTTCAATTCAAAGTTCTGTCACTCGAAAAAAAATACCCTTTATTTCCGAAACGTACGAGTTCGTTTGTGATTTCGTTCATATTTTCATCGAGTTTTGATCCATATCAACATTTTTTTTTCATAATTTATATTTTATAACACATTGACTTTTATATTTTAACTGCATACTTATAAGAAGACGTAAACTGCGTACAATATTGAATTGAATTATTCAACGTTATTTAACATGAATCTTTAAGTACGCTTAAAAGGAACACAGTTTTTTCGTAAAATATTTAACTATAAAAGAATGTAGTTCAAACTAGTACATAACGATCCACATAGAAATGTCATACACGCGATGTGTCAACGTAAAATCAAATCTTGTTACGTAAAAATAATGATTTCGTGACGTAATAGTGACGTTATTATACTATGTATAATTGTTAATTATTGTGGATCCACTAATGTTCTCGCAATGAAAACTGAATTTTGTAGAGAAATAGTTTGTGGGAACTATCTCGAAAGAACGATAAATAAACGAATAAGTTGATTAGTGTGATACGAACCAGAAGTAATTACCTCGGTTACGTTTTGTACCATTATCTCTTTCATCAAATGAACGTAAAACGCGCGACAAAGCACATCCAAGCGGTGCTCTACACAAGATAATGCACAGAAATCTGGCCACTCAAGTATTCCCTTTGTAGTTTCTCGCGTGTTTGTTAAGTATCCTCGTGTACAGATATGTAGAGAGATTGTTTAAGATAAAGTGAGCTGGGGATTTTCCCTCCTTAACATATCTTAGCCTCTATGAACAATTGCATTTACTCTTGAATAATCTTTTCACGCATCTGCGAGGCAAGATAGCTGCTTGTAATGAAGTGCTCTCTAATTTTGTTCTTGTTATTCCTGTTTTTTATTATTTGTTTGTTATTCCTCTTCGTTTTTGTTATTCCTATTTTTTTCGGCTACAATAACAAAATAACAACGCAGATATTGTCCAGGAAGATTATGAAACTTGTAAATAAATATTCCATTTTTATTCGTATCACTAAACGTTTGGTACATGTCGCTATGGAGCAAAGATACTGCGCTTACAAACTCCTATAAGTAATTAATAAAATGCCTTATAGTCCAACAATAAGACGTCTGTAATCACTTAATGTAAAAAAAGGAGAAAGGTCCCGAAATTATTGGAACGTGAATAAATATTTTCGGTGTTGAAGATAAGCGGTATATATTTTGCTTCGAAACGGGGATAAAAAAAAACGTATCAATTTGAACAGCTCTAGTTTCATTCAACAGTGTTCGACGATGCAGCGAATATTTTTTCATGCACGCCTAATGATTCCGTCTCAGGTTACAGGAATCCAGCAGCGCGTCCCTCGAAAAATGTTGTTTTCCGTTACAAAACTGAATCCCGGCCATTACATTTCGTCGAAACGGGGGCGGGGCGGGGGAGGGAAATAAAAAAAAACTTATTCCGCATGAGCGTGACTATCGTCTGGACGAGAATAAATACGAAATGCCGGGGAATAAAACAATAGCAACACCTGGAAAAATTGATTTGTGCCAAATACTGGTATGTTTTTTACTAGCAAAATTCGAACTTGGCAAATATTTGGTGCTGCTCTGTGCCCAGCCGAGGAAAGCACATTTACCGGAAACGCATGGAAAATATCAAGCATATCGAGCGATCGATTCTTTTTCTCGACGCTATGACGCCGGCAGTCAAAAAATGTTATTTCCGGGAAAACGCGACTGATGGTTTTCGCGAGGGCCTGGTGTCCGAAAAGTTCAACAATTTCGGTAAGACGTTTTCGACGTAATCTACGATATTTTAGAGTGATTTTTCCGCGATACAGTATGCTCTCGTAAATGACACGAATTTGTATTTTTTCCATGGGTGATGGTTAGGGTGATCTCGTAATAGAAATGCAAAGTGCGCGATCTCCATGAAATGTTAAATTTCGTTCGGAAGAAGCAAGTAAAATTTTTGTATTTTCGTGGCGACTAGCGAGTGAACTACATGTCGCAGTGCCACTGAGCTTTTTGTCTAGTGTTTGCTGCGATCGTGTTCATCGGCACTTCAATTAATCACTAATTTTCTAGATGGGGGAACCGATCTCTAATTTATCACACGTTTATCCCCAACATTGAACAGCGATTTCAGAGTAATATGACTATGCTCCAATTTTAGGAAACTAAATAATATTCATATTTGTCGATCACTGTATGAAATCCAATACGCGAGTCCGACACGATATCGTAGAATAACCAACGAATAAATTACGTAATTCTCGATTGTTTAGTATTTTAAATTATACAACCTGATTTCTTCGAGTCTGAATGGAAAACGTAAGCAAAGTTTGCAATAAAAAGATCCATTAGCTACAAATGGATAGGGGGAGCAATAAAATATTACGCTAAGTTGTTATTATATTTTATAAGAT